ATACATGTTTAATGTAATGTATGTAATATTTAATGTATACATGTCTTGCACATTATCTTTTTTGTAAGATAATTATCCTCATGGTATTGGAATTTGCTGGCACTGATAAGTTGCCCTTTAACATTGGTAGACTGATGTGTTTGATGTTGCAGTTAACGTGTTTGCCCATTTGTTATGACATCATGCATTTGGGAGAAATGTGTCATGATTGTCCTTTTTCTTCATCCAATGTCATTTAGCAAATCAAATTTGAGTTCAGAAGGTTTGTAAAAAATGTTTAAATTTTTTATGACAGTATAGTTGACTTTCATAATACCGACAAAATACCAAATGCTTTTGGTATAAAATACCGAATACCGAATCGGTATCGGTTCGGTATTGGTATACCGAAATTTTGGTAACCGATTGACACCACTAGTCACTACCCTATACCCTTCTACCGAGTCGAGTGTTAACATGGCCGATAACCTTATCTACTATGGTTAGGAGCACTCCGCAGCATCAACTCTATCTCGGTGTTGTAAACATAAAACACCAGTATAACGCCTTATGGGGCGACTAACGGAGCGAGCGAGAGGGTGGGCCTTGCACGTGCGAAATTTCGAGGGGGTACCTCCAACTGACTTGTGCACGGCACCCTACTAACTGGTCTCTAGCGATGTGCCAAATTTGAGCACAATCGGCCCAGCCGTTCTCGAGATCTGGAAGCGGCACCCTGCACGTGCGCACGTGCAAAATGGGTCCCAACTGACTTGTGCACGGCACCCTACTGACTGGTCGCTAACCGTGTACCAAATTTGAGCGCCATCGGTCCAGCCGTTCTCGAGATCTGGAAACGACCCCTGCACGTGCGCACGTGCAGCAGCACCCCAACCTTAACCCGCGCCCCGTTGGGCTCTGCCGAGCAACGCGCCCGGTTGGGGGGGGGGCCATTTTGGCCCCCCCCCTAAGATCTCGAGAACCACGCAACATAGCGACAAGCGGTAAACGGCGTTGGATAGCCCCAACGGGGAACTACCCTGTGACCCAATTTTATTGACCTAGGTCAAACCGATGACGTCACAGGTCAGGTCAAAGGTCCAATTTTCACCGTTTACAGGCACTTCAAGAAATGCGTTGTAAAATCGAGTAAAATGCATTTCATTGAAAATCATCGATGGGGAAATGTTCTTCAAACACATATTTTGCTATTTGAGGTCACTGATACCAGGTCAGGTCACAGAGGTCAGGTCACGGGGGGGTCACAATATGAAAGTGTCGTGTGATACATGTTTTATGGTCCATTTTACATGACAAATGCGATTATATGGGTCAGGCAGCCTTTGGGGCCAGCTTAGATCACGTTTTGGTCAAGGTCAGGTCAAGGTCAGGTCAAGGTCAGGTCAAATTAGGTCAAATTTCAAAGTTAATATTTTTGCATAAAATGGGTATCGAATCGATGCAGCTCGTCACGGGGAGTTCAATGGTGGTCTTTGTTTTGCCGTACGTGGTCTAGAATTGCTAAAAATTGAGTTCAAAAATTTGACGTCATCATTTTTGAACAGTTTTTTCGCTATAACTTGGCCAAAAAACGAGATATCGATCTGAAATTTGGTATGTATATAGAAGAGCGCTGGGACTATCACATATATTCCGGTTTTTTTCGAAATTCGGAAATTTTTTGGATTTTTTCAAAGTTTTTCTAAAAAAATCAATTTTTTGAATTTTTTTGGTCAAAAACCAAAAATTTTGAAAATCCGAGATAGCAGTTTTGTAGCGCCGCTTTTTGTCTACTAGACCATATAAAGAACTTTGAAATTGCTTGATAACTGTAGATTTGGTGAGCGTTTCAAGATTGCATGTTTTTTGCTCATTTTTGCTCGAACATGACCTCAGTTTGACCTCAATAACTCCTGACCTAAGGTGACCTAAGACTTGAAATTTGGTGTGAAGGTGTCAAATTGATGCCCGGGAAGGTACTGAAAATTTGGCGGCGCTGCGCGCCGCCGTTTTCTTGCTATTCAGGAAAAACCACAGGGGGGGCCAAAATGGCCCCCCCCCCAACGGGGCGAGGGTTAACACATGCAGATGAATTATCTGATGGAGACCTAACTGTGTACCGAGTTTCAATTCAATCGGCCCAGCCGTTGTGCCGTTATTGAGGTTGCAATTTTGGGGTTCTTAAAAAATGTCCAACTTTACCACGCGCCACGTGCGGTGGTTGGCAAGAACGCATGGTGGCCATCACACCACAGAACTTTTACGTCCAAGTGACATTCAGTAAAGAAGACCGCTTGTCAATCGGATGTCCCGTTCCTAAGATATTAGCTTTTGAAGAGCGTCCCCACGGCCGGCCGGCCGGCCGGCCGGCCGGCCGGCCGCTCATACTCAGGATTTTCCCTTAATTCAGTATGAGACTCCGCTCGCTTTGCTCGCTCCGTAACACCAGTATAACGCCTTTTGGGGCGACTAACGGAGCGAGCGAGAGGGTGGGCCTTGCACGTGCGAAATTGCGAGGGGGTACCTCCAACTGACTTGTGCACGGCACCCTACTAACTGGTCTCTAGCGATGTGCCAAATTTGGACACAATCGGCCCAGCCGTTCTCGAGATCTGGAAGTGGCACCCTGCACGTGCGCACGTGCAAAATGGGTCCCAACTGACTTGTGCACGGCACCCTACTAACCGGTCCCTAACCGTGTACCAAATTTGAGCGCAATCGGTCCAGCCGTTCCCGAGATCTGGAAACGACCCCTGCACGTGCGCACGTGCAGCAGCACCCCAACTCTGGCACATGTATATGCAGTGCCTAGTGGGTGCCTACCTACATGCCAACTTTCAGCGCAATCGGCCAAGTAGTTACCGAGATATTGCAACAATTACAAAACTGACACCTCTTCGTTTTGCACGTGGCACGTGCATAAGGGGTCACCCACATGCATCGGGAATAGTCCAATACTTGGTAGAAGGAATGAAGCTACCCTACAAAAATTACCGCGTGTAAATCGGTCAAGTGGTTGCTGAGATATAAGCCTCGCAAAAGCGTGACCACGGCCGGCCGCTCATACTCAGAAATTTCCGTTAATCTAAGGAAAGACTACGCTCGCTTCGCTCGCTCCGTAAACACAGCACTCGGTAGCGCTTCACTGTGATATAGCCTTTCACTCACGTAGCTGCTTCAGTCGATATTTGCCCTGCTCCCTGTTATAGACCGTCAATACGTGCCTGGCGCAGCACTGCACCAGAGGCTGGTGGGACACGTGCTCGAAGGGACGTACCGGTCCCGTCGGTCGCTGTCGGTCGTCCTATACTCTGATCAGTGGTCATAGATCGGTCAGTGTTGGCACTGCCGGCACGGACACGGCTTTTTTACGGGAGCGTTAGACGGTAGCATGTGTTGGAAGGCGGGATGTTCGCGGTGGCGCATAGAATTCCTGCAAGGAAGTTTTTTATTATTCGCAGTGCTCATTTGGGAAGCTATTGGTACGAAGCGCATAAAGCACATGCTTGGAATGCAAAAATGGTCGAGAATCTGTATCTTTTTTTCAGAATTCTAATCGAAGAGCTGTGGCAAACTTTGGTATTTTTGTTTTAAAGTTTGGTCCACGCCGCATGTACTTCGTGCAAGTAGCTGAGTCGCTATCAACAACATACCCCAAAATAAGCATTATTCTCAAAACTGGGACGTTGTGTATCATCTTTAGGGAGTAAGCTAGAGACACAGCCGTGTTTAAGTGACCCCCCTAAGGGTCCCGATTTCCATAAATGGCTGCGGACACAGTTTGGTCACGTTTCTGGTCGGCCTTTGCGGATGCGGTCTGGTCGAACTCGTCTGAATCCTAGGCGAGGAATGGTGTTTAGGGAATAGGGGGTTAGCCGCTAGTCTAACAAGGGTCTGAATGAATAGTCGTTGATGAATGTCAGATTAGAATGGACTGCACCAGCGGAGGCGGTCAGGATAGCACGTCTGCAATCAGCATGTTCCCTGATTAAAGGATGAGTCAGCGTTGAATAGCTTCAGTCGCGACTGCTTCGGTTGTGGAAATGAGGTCGATAATCGTTCAGAAAGTTATCAACGCCATGTAGGTGAAAACGTGTTTGAGAAAAACTCACCGCCTTTTCTGTGTATTATTATCTAAGTCATGTTTTAGCAGATCAAGACCATGTTCTAAGGTGTGGTAAAGATATGCAAGATCGGAACTTCTCAGTTTCATCAAAAATCACCTTTTCCTTTTACTGACGTCATTCTGTCCATGGTCGAAATAAAGTATTTTTGCAGCCATTCTGTTTCAAAGTTATCGAAAGTATTTGTGATGACAGTGAGCCCCGTATGTCGACGAGGCCTGGGTGTTCCTGGCTTTCATCGCGCTCACAGATTCTAAAAATCGGTGGACTGGCATGCGTCACTTTCCACGTTTCATTCATCGAACAATCGTTCATTGTTTACTGGGGCCACGGGGATTGCTGGTCACACCTCCCGCGCTGTCAGACAATGATTAATGGTTCCGTGTCACTGGCGAACAGCTGGTGGCGAGTCCATTGTAGTTGGGCATATTCGTATCACTCTGTTACCCTACTGTCCGCACGAATCAATAAGACATACGTTACAACCTGCATAAGGAAGGCGCTAGCTATTGATTGATCAGCGGATTTACTTATGCATTGATGACAAATACCTCCTTCTAACACTGATTCTCTATCTGGGAGCTTATGATGGTGAACTTGTCGGTGACGACGCCTCGGTTTCGATCTGCTTCTTCTTCCGTCCCTTTGCCCTTTGCCCCGTCCTCCCACCCTTCTTCGCTCCCCTTCCGTCGACTCCCGCTCTCTCTCTCTCTCTCTCTCTCTCTCTCTCTCTCTCTCTCTCTCTCTCTCTCTCTCTCTCTCTCTCTCTCTCTCTCTCTCTCTCTCTCTCTCTCTCTCTCTCTCTCTCTCTCTCTCTCTCTCTCTCTCTCTCTCTCTCTCTCTCTCTCTCTCTCTCTCTCTCTCTCTCCCCACTGAGCCGACCTCCTCTGTTCACAGGGTACCGGTGCTTCAAGGCGGTCATGTTTCTCACGGGGTTCACGTTCGGCTCCGTGGTAGTCTACCTGATCTGCATGGAGGAGGCGGTGCTGCCACCTCTCGGCAATGCAGGTAACTAACGGCGCGGGGTGGACGACGCGGTGGGTGCTGAAACACTGAACACGAACAAATGATACCTATGTTTGTTCCAAGCCAAATTAATAAATAAAGGAAGAAGATAAATAAATAACGTATTAGAAGCTGAACAAATCATGTTTCGTGGACCTGAGAACATTTGAAAAATGCCTGAATGAAACTCTTAACTCAGTAAAGTAGGTAAGTGAGCAGTCGGTGTCATGACAACGGCATGTCAATCAGTATGAAGGTTGTCACTTGTCAGTTGCACTGTATGGACATTGGACACTGCACAACCATGCATTGTGTCAGCCACTATAGTTTTCTGTCAACTTCATAAAACACGCTGTGCTGACTGATTAGGTCTGACAGTCCGTACTCGGTAGTCGGTACTACCCATGTCGCTGTGAAACGACTCGCAATGAACGCGCTGCCCTGGCAAACTCGAACGGTGATGAGCCGGCCCCGTTGACCGCGCTGAACCGACTAACCGCAGCGCTCCGATCAGCTGTGGATGACTGAGCGGGCCGGCGGCGCGCGGCGGACCGTGCGGCCGCCGGCAGCCGCTGTCGGGTGATCGGGTGGACCGCTGACGAGTGACTCCTCTTCCGCCCTGTATCTCCGAGTCTCGACATGGGCTGTCGGTCGGTCGGAGATGGGCGGCAGCCGGCAGTCGGTGACGAGTGATTCCCCGCCCCGCATGTTATATCTGTCGACGTGATCCGTCAGTCAGCGGCGCCGGGCGCGATGCGATGGAGATGGATGGGAGCGGCGCCGGTGTGTGGCACGTCGTGCTCTGTCGGTGCAGCTGTCTGGACAGGGCACTGCGCGTGGAGCCGCTCCCCGCTGAATGGAGCGCCGCGTAGTGACAGTGATCCGTGTAGCGACCCGTGCTCAGTCCGCGCGGAGGGCCTATCGGTGGCAGCTGGACGGCTGCGCCCGGCCGCCCGGCCCGCCGCGGCTGTTTGCTTTTCTCGCCGGGACCGTGTTGTAGCTGCTGTCAGCCGGACCTGCACGGTGGTCCGGGGGGTGAACACGGCCCAGACAGCTGCCTATCGCGCCGGCATCTCACCGTACTTCCGGCCCGGGTCTGTCTGTCTGTCAGTCTGCTGGTTGCCGAGCTCCCGACTTGGGTCTCCGTCAGTCTGCATGGTTGGTAAATTCGCTTGTTCTCCTGCCCGGTTCACCTGCTGCTGCCTCTCCAGTCGACACTCAGGCGGCCCAGATCTCCTCTCGCGCCTTCTCTGCGTGCGGGCAGGGCGGTATGAATGGGAACAGGCTCAGCTTGCTGACAGGTCCGGGACATATGTTCACGTGCTCGTTTTTTCACAACTCACCTCACACTGGGCTTTACAGAAGGTGAAATAAAGTGACTCGAAACGGAAAGTAGCCAAGCGCAAAGAAGTTCGAATTCATGCATCATTTATTGAATTAATTGGATCCATAGGTCGACGAATCTTAGTGAGGCAGTGCATTACAAAGTCAACTGAAGAATGTTCATCGCCGGGTTGAATTAGATAAGTCAACCTTCTGTTGACAGTGTCTGACGTCTGTCCCTCCGGCTGTTTTATTCCGCCGGTGACTGACGCTATAACCCACCTGTCCGGAGTGAAATGCGGGCTTAGTATTTGACGCCTGTCCTCCCGGCCTGCTATGTCTTCGGGAACTGACTCTGGTCCCGCCGTTCCGATGTGAACTGTGGGCCAGTGCCGCCGGGACTCCACTAGAGGTCAGTGTCGCGGCGGCCGTGAGCTCCAGCTGTGCCGACCCCCGACGGACCGGCCATCCATCAGCCGGGCCGGCCAGTCCAAACTTATTGCGGCCATGCATCACGCCCTGACGCTGGTCGAACTCCGCAGCGACTTTGCGGCCCACGGCTGCCGGCTGAGACCCCGAACCTCGCTGCTCGAGCGGGCCGTCGTATTCGACGTACCACTGTCTGTCTTCCGTTTTCTGTCGTTTCGGCAGCGATCGACGCCGTGCACTTTTCCTCGGTTCGTATTGTCTATTGTGGAAGGTTATCTCTCGCCCACGGAGGGGTCGTTACCTGCCTGGAAATGCTCGGCCGGTGTTCCACCGGGCCGGCTGACCCGCCTGTGACGTCACCGGCAGACTGTCGTGACGTCACCGCCAGACGCCTCGGGCGCCGTTTGGGGACCAGTCGGCGGCACCTGACCTTTGGCGCCGCGCGGAGCGATGGCGATTGGATCACACTGTATACGAGACGTGACGAGCCAGTTTCAGGGCACAGGGCGGCGGCAGTGTTTGAAAACATCGGCCGCGGCCGGTAATTCGGGCAGATTGTGTTTTGATGCGCCAAAATTGTGATTGCTCGATGCTGGGCCAGTTAAATCTGCCCTGTCAAACTAATTTACCGTCAAACGTTGAAGTGTGGCTGCTCTCCGAAGTCCGATCTATATAATACATCTCTGGTAATTGTATCGACGACTGCGAGTCCTATTGACCACCTGATTACCCACGCTCGCTGGTGCCTCCGGAGTTCAGTTAGCACCGACTGTGAAGCCCGCAGAAACCGGCGTCCGGCCTGCTGCTTACCTCAGGGCTGACACACTCTAGAAACAAACGTGGGCGCCCGCTAATGTGGTCTGACGGCGCTGTTGATAAATCGGATCTACCCCCAGCCGTCTGCCCGCGGCCGCCGGGCCCCGAGGGGTCTGTCCGCGCCCCCATGGCACCGTTCCCGAGCGAATCAGAGGCAGATGAATCACAGGCTATAGACTATACGGCTTGTTTGTTTTCATTTGTAGCATCGCTGGTGATGTTTTACTGTATTTTTACGAGTTTCGTTTCTGTAGCATGATAAAGGCATCAGCGATATTATACACGCTGATGTATGCAAGATAACTTTATTTGCACGCTTTAATCCGGAGTTTGACGATAGGATTTTAAGGGATTTTAAGGACTAGGCGGAGACGGAATGGAAGTAAGTATTATTTACGTTCAGGTGATCCCCATGCCTCCTCTCCGAGTAGATACGTTATCGTTAGCTGTGCTTTATCATTATCTCATTAGGAAAGATGAGCAATGAGGATGTCAAGACCGTTATCATTTGACAATTTGTTTTGAGCATTCGCTCGATTTGGATGCAATGCTACGTTTCTTACGCCTCTTTTCCAATTTATCATCGCAGTAAATGGATATTGATGCGCTTATCGATGTTTTTGTCGACGTTACCAAGTAACGTTTGCGACTACTGACTCGAGGAAACAATTGAGACAAATCGTCAGTTGGACCGACATTGACAGCGCATTTCTCCGAGCCAATTCCACTGAGTGGCGGCGCGCGGCGCGTGCCCCCCCCCCTCCCTAGCGCCTGTGACCTGTCGTGTTTGGATGGCTGGCAGTTGGGCCATTACCGGTGATGGACTGCTCACGAGGAGTCACGGACCGAAACGGGCCGGCTCACGGCTACCTCGCCACGGTGAACTACGGCAAAACTTCCCCTTATGACTACCCAGACCTACTGGTTCGCAGCCAACAAATTATGTGTGAACTGCGGACCGTTGACAATCAGTAATAGGGCCCACCTATTGTCGATTAGGGGCTCGAAGGTCAGTGAGCGGCCGGCAGCAGGCACGAGGAAGGAGGGGAGGGGCAGGGGGGGGGGGCGCGAAGACGGTAGAGACGTGTGTCTGTGGAAGAGGAGAGGGGAAACACGACCCGAGGCAGAGGGGAGGAGGCTGACCCGAGATAAGGCACGCGCAGTAAACAGAGGGAGGGAGGGGTGGGGGGACAGGCCCGGGGAAGAAGCAAACACCACGTGGTCGAACAGTCCGAGACGCGCGCTCAGAGGCGACAGACGGTGTGATGAGTGGGGATTGAGTGACAGGCTGCGAAAAATGAGCGAGCAGGATAAGTGAGAAACGAGAGACGACAGTGAGTGTGGCGCGACGGAGTACCTGGTCCGCAGTGCAGGGGCACATACCTAAGGGGACTGTCATGGCCGGTAAGTCAAGCTAACGTGCTAGCAACAGTAGATATCAGGACGCCCGCCCGACAGTTTAAATTGTTACAACACATGACACATGTAGACATGACGATGTGCGCGACTCGGCTCATGAGACAAGTAGCATCCTTTTTTGTTTGCGCGTGCAATCGTACATGCTCGAATACACGACACGTAACAGTCGCTCCAGTCTGATTACAATCTGTAATTCGGACTCGACTGGCATGAGAAAGTATAAAGCCGCTCCAGTCTGTCTGGGGTTGAACGCCTCACCGACTCGGCTAATCGCATACCGAATGCACGACAACGTAACAGTCGCTCCAGTCTGATTACAATCTGTAATTCGGACTCGACTGGCATGAGAAAGTATAAAGCCGCTCCAGTCTATCTGGGCTTGAACGCTCACCGACTCGGCTAATAGCATACCGAATACACGACAACGTAACAGTCGCTCCAGTCTGATTACAATCTGTAATTCGGACTCGACTGGCATGAGAAAGTATAAAGCCGCTCCAGTCTGTCTGGGCTTGAACGCTCACCGACTCGGCTAATCGCATACCGAATACACGACAACGTAACAGTCGCTCCAGTCTGATCACAATCTGTAATTCGGACTCGACTGGCATGAGAAAGTATAAAGCCGCTCCAGTCTGTCTGGGCTTGAACGCTCACCGACTCGGCTAATCGCATACCGAATACACGACAACGTAACAGTCGCTCCAGTCTGATTACAATCTGTAATTCGGACTCGACTGGCATGAGAAAGTATAAAGCCGCTCCAGTCTGTCTGGGCTTGAACGCTCACCGACTCGGCTAATCGCATGCCGAATACACGACAACGTAACAGTCGCTCCAGTCTGATTACAATCTGTAATTCGGACTCGACTGGCATGAGAACTGAGAAGTATAAAGCCGCTCCAGTCTGTCTGGGCTTGAACGCCTCACCGACTCGGCTAATCGCATACCAGCCGCTCCAGTCGGAGTAAGAACCACATTCCGACTCGGCAATTGCATACATAACAGCCGCTCCA